GATTGCTGTACCATTCTATACCGTACCGTGTGAATGCCCTTTGTGTTTAAGCAGTAGCCATGTCACTTGTCTTGCCAGTGTGCGACAAGCCTTAAAGATGTACTGGATCTTTGAGGTCTATCCTGAGAATCTACATCATTCAGTAACAATTTAATGTCTTTTTTTTTGCAGCCCCCTGCTCTGCCCACAGTTGATGGAAAACATCAAGACTTGAAATACATCACTCCAGAAGTTGTAAGTAGTTACTAATCTGGCATTCATGATTACAGTGTGAACTGTGACCTCCTGGCCATAATCTTAACTTACTTATAACTTGTATCATATCTTAATACTAAAATTGATCTTTGGTTTGTTTGTGGTTTCAGATGGTTGCAGCAATAAACGGTCAGTTCAGTGAGGTGGTGGAAAGACTATTTGTCATTGACTGTCGGTATCCTTATGAGTATGAGGGAGGACACATTAAGGTGAGGATAATTCTCTTTACTTCATGAACATGTGGTAAAATCATGGACTTTAAATTATTTATTTATTTTTTCCTTTCATTGACTTGAATCACTTATATTTTGCCAGGGCGCGTTAAACTTGCATCTGGAGGAGCAGTTTGAGGAACGCTTTTTCAGACAGCCCATCCTTCCACAATGCCCTGAGAAACGTGTATTACTGGTGTTCCATTGTGAGTTTTCGTCAGAGCGTGGTCCACGAATGTGTCGCTTTGTTCGTGAGAGGGATCGTGATCTAAATGAATATCCCAATCTCCATTACCCTGAACTCTACGTACTGAAGGGAGGCTACAAGGACTTCTTTCCCTTACATAAGGTAAGTCATGCTGAATTCTTGTTTGAGTTTTTATTTGGTAAGCCATGGACTTCATAGTGTAGTGTTTTAATGATGTGGAACTGTTTATGCTTGCAGAAAGAGTGTGAGCCTCAGGATTATAGGCCGATGCATCATGAGGACTTTAAGGAGGATTTGAGAAAGTTTCGCCTGAAGAGCCGTACGTGGGCAGGAGAGCGCAGCAAGAGAGACATGTACATCCGCCTTAAAAAACTCTGAGGCATATGAACGTACTCTTGGGTTTACTGCCTAAAATTACTCACACCATGCCCTCTCACTTGACCAGCCTGTGGCAGTGACCTTAAGTGATGGTCAGTATTGTTCAGTAAGATACTGCCTTAACTCAGCCACACACTGCTTCCCTCCCTGCAAATGATCAAATGATCACTGCCAAGTTGTTTTCTTTTTTTTGGTCCCCTGCCCCTACTTATTTTCCTTATTAAATGATTGTGGAAAAAGACCTCAAAGCACTTACCTTCTTATGTTTGTTGGAGAGTGCTTTTTTCCCCCCCTTCCCATACCCCCACACCCTTTTGGGTTTTAGCCATACTTTTTTGCTGTGAAGCTTATTATTATTATTATTATTATTATTATTATTATGATGCAACCAGCCACTGTTTCATTGTCCCTGTTATCAATTATGTACAATCCCATAATGTATAGCCCAGTATCAGTGGTTATTTTAAAGGAAGTTTTTTACTAATTTGGTAGAGTTTTTTAATAGTTGAGTATGACAAATATCTGGAAAGTAGTGCTGAATGCAGTGTGTGGTTTGGTTAGCTGCTTTGCACTGCCATTTTTTGATCTCAAGTCTCCTTTCTGGGATGAGATTTCCCTTACCCTTACTGATTCCTTTTGGAGATGAGATTTTTGTTGAGGACAATAGGACTGTTTTGGGGAGGATTTTCTCCTGACGGAACTCGTTCATGGGGACGGACCTGGCTGATTGCTGCTGGTCAGCGTTAAATGACCTCAATGACTTTTTCACCAAAATGCTAAGCAATAATACCTGCATATAACTGTCATTAGGAATTTTATTTTAATTTTTTTAACATTACAAGTGGTGTTGTAATGATCCCCTCTCCCTAAATGCAAATGTACAGTGTGTATGTGTAAACTGCTGTGTTGAGTAAAAGTATTGGCCATGTTTGAGTCAGTGTGTGAAATTGGCTGTGTTACTGCAATAAGACTGTAGTTGGTGTTTGGGGGAATAAATAACTTTAAGCTGCTCCTTTTCCCCCCTTTCCCCCCCCCCTGTCTTATCACTTCTCACGGTGTTCTGTTGTGTGTAGGCTGTGGGTGTGCACAACCATTGCATTCATTCTCTTTTCAAATCATCCCGCCTTGAAAGTGCCCACACACATTCCAGAGTTACACTGTTGGGTGGAGCCAGTTTATGACATGTTCTGGCAACATGTCAGAGTTTGAGAGTTCAGCTGGGAGAGAGAAAAATGACTTTTGAAAATGTGGATTGTTTTAATATTTACATTGGCAAGTGCAGACAAACTGGAAGAAAAGAAGCTAAGCAGAATTGTTTTGTGTACATGTGAGCCACGTGGAGCTCACATGTGAGGAGTGTGAGCTGCAGGGAGTGGCTGTAGAACTCCACTGGCCTCCAGCCAAGTGTTCAAATCCTGCAGAGAACACAGAAAGCAGAAGTCCTCACATGGCTCCAGATTAATGAGCAACCGTTTGGCAGTGCTGATGCTTGATTTCCAGTGGCTAGAACCTAGAAAGAAAAACATCTCAGCCTAATCTCAGAATAGTGATTTGTCATCAAGAGCTTTTGAAGAAGGCATTTTGTGGGAATGTTTAGCCTTTCCTCAAGTTGTTTGAGTGGAGAATCCACATTCCAAATATAAGATGGTTCCAGGTTGTATTTCATGTTTGGCAGCGGCTGCAAAACCTGACTTCATCAAGAATCTCTGTGAAGCCAGGAATGCAAATTTGGTAAACTTTCTTCATGAATTGTCTTATTTTGTCTTCAGTAACTTTTTTGCAAGAGAAACTGTGAAGATGCACTGCCCTATAAATACTTGTGGTTTAGACTAAAGCACTAAAGGGTACCCAGCTACAAGTCTGAGTTGAGTAAGACAGGATCTTACACATTCTGAATTTCCATTCAGTGGGTTTTTGCTTGGTCAGGGCGCTTCTGAATTTAAAACCAGATCCCTTACTGTCATTGGTCTATATGGGCTGGAACTATGCAATGACAATACCCACATCCTGTTATTTCTGCAGCTGTGTTCCTCTCAAGTTTAGCCCATTTAACCCTTTGTCAGAGATACAGTTTCATGCCACAGTGCTTACTGTTATTTAGCCAACCCCCCCCTTTTTTCTCTCAGTCTCACCTTTAAAGATTTGTGTCTTGGTTGGTGGGCCGCCTTGCTTTGTTTTTCTTTTCATTTTTTTTTCTTGGCATCTGGGTAAAGGGTATTGTGTCATGTTTGAGTAAAATCTATGTAAGCTAGATAGGACACAGAATGGTGGGCTCACTCTGCAGCTTAGTGTTCCTTTGCTTTAGGAAGTATAAAGTATACTTCATGTAAAGTATAATGTTCTTTTATATAAGTATAGAAGATCTCTGCACAATGGTTTTAAGATGTTGCATTATTGGCCAAGCAGGACTATTCACAAAGAAAGGGGTCTGAAAGGTCTTGGGGGAAATCATCTATACAAGACAAATTTGCTTTCTATAAGGCTTTTAATACAACATCTTTGTGGGTGGGAATTTGTGTCCATCAGTGAAACAGCTGATTTAACTTTTCAACATTTTAAGTGTTCTCTTTCCCAAAGGGTTCAAATGAAGGGCTTGGGCACTGGGGAGAGGTGAATGATTTGTGTGAGTGTTAAGGAGGGTTAACTTCAGTTTGTGGTGGGGGAGGGTGGGGCTCTTCTCTGCAGGGTTTAGCGAGCATGCCAAGCAGTTGTTAAGCAGCTGCCCAGTGTGTTTGTTCGCATGTTCACTTGCATTTGCACACACATTCCCACTGTCGCAGCTGACATTGTCTTTTGATGCTGAAGGAAATCAAGCAGCTGCAACTTCAGCAGTCAAAGCACACTGCAGCCAAACAGTTAAGCTTCTCAGCCAAACCAACTGACATCACTGCTGGACAAGCTAGTAAACCAATCTCTTCTCAGAAAGTGGATAAGAGTATTTGTGTTTTAGCATTTGCAATTTTGAGAGAAGGTTTAATTACTTTGGCATCACATTTAATATTAAACAATTAAAAAATACTTCAAAAATATTAACTGAAATGGAAATAAGTGAAATGCTGAATGTTTATTATTCATTTAGGCCAGACTTTTTCTACTCTTACAGCCTGCTTTTGGAATCCCTGCTAGAAAAACAGCACAGACCAGCACAGCTGGTCACCAACAAAACCAGCTTTGTGTTTTGGATGCTGGTATGCAGGTCCGCAGAAATGAATGTCATTAGGCTGGTCACCACCAAAACCGGTATATATTGTGTTTTGCATGCTGGTATGCTGGTCAGCCAGGATGACTATGCTGGATGAACAGCATAAAAGAGTTTACACTAGTTTAGATTAACATGGAACGCATGCTGGTCTGTGCTGAATTAAATTACATTACTTTAGAATTGTTTAGAATTGAAATGGAAAGAAGTCAAATGAAGGTAATGATGTTTACCGATTCTCTTAGGCCAGGCCTTGTCCGGCCTTACATCCTGCTTTTGGAATCTCAGCTCAAAGGAGGAAAAATTACATTACTTAGCACTGTATTTAATATTAAACCAAATCCAGAAAAAGGATTTGTGTTCATATGATAGCCCGCTTAGTTTCTCCAGTCACTATTTAAGCATGTTGAGCTCAACAAGTCAGAGAGAAATAGCTGTGTTTTAGCACAGATGCTCAGTGCTGTTTGATGTGCATGTCTGTAACTGTAATCAACCCAGGGCTAGCGGGACTCCCAGCATGCCAGCTGTTGCCGTCTTGTACCGCTAATTTGACTTCCTGTCAGATTCAATTAATTTATTTTGAGTTGTTGTGTTTGCTGCTTCTTGAAATGAAGAAGAATTAAACAGACAACACCTTTGGCTTTAAACATCTGGCTGTTGTTTGTGTTATTGCAGTGTTGATCTCGGAGCGCCATCTGGCGGCAAAATGTATACTGCACGAGCCTTGTCCTCAGTCACATGACTAAACACGGAAATGGCGATTTGAGTAGAGGCCAATGTTGTGTGTAAGATAGAGGCTTCATTTAAGCACATATTGCGAATTTCCTGCACAAACTGTAATTTACTATAAAACAAATGTAGCAACCGAGGTGAGTGAAGTTTGTTGTTTTACATCATGTCTCTGTAATATCCGCTGATGTTCGCTGACTCTGCCTGTGCGTTTCTCGCTGTGAACGTTACCTTCTGTTGTGCCTTATATAGAATAGCTGACGTGAACTCTGTGAACTCTACACTGTTAAACGGATAAACTGCTTTTCCATCAGTAACTGTGCTCGTTGTAACGCGTCTTTCTGGCTCCAGACGCAGACATGGTGGTGTGCTTTCTAATCCACACTGTGTGCCCTGTGAGCGCCCTCTCTCCCGCTGAGAGCCGGATCCTGTACTCTCGTGTTTTTGGACCGGAGGATGTGGAGCAGAGCGGAGAGAGCCGTGAGGAGAACCCGGAGAAGAGAAGACTGGCTCGGAAAGAGAAACTTGGGGTTGTGGCGAGGTGATTGCCAGTATGGTCCTGAAACTCCCTCCTTCACTCTCTTTGTCACCTGCTGGAGATACTTCACAGACTCTGTATCTCTCACCTGTTGGGAACACCTGACAGCCTCTCTCCCCCTGTCTCTCTTTCTCTTTCTCGCTCTCTCTCTCTGTGCCACCCACACATATCTTTATTTATTATCATGAACAACTTGGCTACCACAGCAACCAAATTAATTATATAAAAAAAAATCTATATAATTAAATCTTCAAGATGTAAAGATGATGCTAGATGGTGATAGAAACCAGACATCCAAAGCCTTTAATGCTTCTAAAAGTTACATCGCAGAAAGTTATTACATGACATGGTTATGCATATGCTGACTAATGCCTTAGGCATTGTTTTACAATAGTTTTGAGAAATGGTTTTGGCCTAAGATCTTTTTTGTTTTAAAGTCATTCATTGAGGAGATATATGTGCAGGGCATTGCATGGCAAAATAGTACCCAAAGAAAATATATTTTTATTTCAGATTTTCCACTATTTTATCATTACCAGCATCATATATAAAATCTCAGAAGACACAGTTTCACTGGTAATGGTTTTGGATAGCAGATAAAATGGCTATATTAGAGCTGTACACACTTTGAACTATTGAGTTACACAGAAATGTTGAAAAATCGGTGGAATTACCTTTAGTACTGATAAAGATATTGAATGAAGGGTAAAAAAAAACAAACATTTATAGTCATGTTTCATACATACTGTACACACAAATGTACATATATCTTTATACATACACTGCCAGTCAAAACATTTGGACACACTGAATAAGCATTTTTAATCATGCTAAAGTGATTTTGATTGAAAATGTTCTGCTTAAATGCAACAAAACAAAAACAAATAGTGAATTTTCATATATATATATATATATATATATATGTGTATGTATATATATGTATGTATATATGTATATATATTAATTCATTAAAATGTTTAGGAAATCTAAATTTAAAAAATATAATTAAAACCATATATATTTTAAATTCCCTAATAAGTACCTTTCTGCAACAAGATCTCATATCACTGTCCAAAAAAACACAAACAAACATGTATCTCTAAAATCATAAATTTACAAGAAAAAGCAAAATGTTTCTTAACATTTAAAGTAAGTTAATGTAAAGAGACTGTAGTTTATGCGTATCTTCTTCAAGTCTGATGGAAAACCACCCCAGGTGGCTCCTTATGAAGCAGCCTAAGAGAATGCTAAGAGAGTGTTTAGCTGCATTAATGCAAAAGAGGGTTAATTTCCTAAATATTCTAAAATGGATGATATTTTCATGTGTTTAACACTTTTTTGGTCTCCGCATAATTCCATTTATATTATTTCATAGATGTCTGTGTTTACTATTGCTTTGTGGTAAACCCTTCTGTTAGTAGATGTCTTCAAACTTTTGACTGTGTGTATATGTGACTATGCCTGCACACACACACATTTACATGTGTGTCTGTATGTATACCTACCCACACACACAAGCACGCGCACAAATATTTACACAGCATTGGCTTAGTTTACCAACATTTGCCATTTTATTGTTTGCTCTAAGGGTATGCTAATTGTGTTTATATTTTGCTGATCATTTCACAATCTCTGATGTCTCTCCTGAACACATGCACAACATATCTTCACTTCTCTCTCTCTCCCCCAGGCAAGTGAGAAGTGCGGTTTGCCTGAGCCGGGAAGCGTCAGGCAGTGTTTGTGTGGAGGCCGTGCTGGGTGAGGAGGCCGTGGCTCTCGGTGAGGCCGAGTGTGGCGTGCTGTCTTTGGGCCGTGGGGAGCCGTTTGCAGGGCCGAACGTTGCACTGTGGCTCGGGGTCCAGGCCCTAGCTTTCACTCTGGTGTGCCAGCCACAAGAGAACCTGCTGTTGGCAGAGGGAACCCTGCGTAACCTCGCCCGCCACTGCCTGGAGGAGTTACGCCTGCTGGGAACTGGCAGTGAGGTGGGTGTGAGTCAGTGTGTGTGTGTGTGGTGTGAGAGGCAACAGCTACCAGAATGTTAATGTTGTTTAGGTGTATGAGCTGTCTTGGGAAACTAGCCTTAAGGAGTGCAAATAGCATGGGGTCTGACCGCTTTTACCTGACCTCAGATATTCTCCTCTGAGTAACAGAGCTCTTAGCAGAGACATTTGACTCAACAAAGCAACATTAGCTGAACTGGTGAAAAAGATACTTTAGAAATGAATGTGAATTCTTACAGATCTGAGGTATAACCAGTCTTATTCAGGCTTGTATTTGAAATGCAGTGTCCTTCAAATGTTAGGGGAACTTCTTTTGAAATTTCCTGAGGTATGTTTGATTTCTGCTTGCAATTATGTAGGAAAAATACCTGGAAACACTTAATATAAAACAACCATTTACTAATACGTTTACTTATGTATTGTGCAACAATCAGCTTCATGTTCATCAGTGTGTCTTCTGTAGTATGAAGAGGAGGTTTTGCCTAAATAATAATTCAAAAGTTTTCTTTTCCAAGCTATTGTTAAAAGCACATGTTGAAACATGTGAAATGCTTCACTGATTATATCACAACAAGGTAGAGGTGGGTGATATGGCAAAACTATGATATGATACTTTTTCATGATATATGATGCAATGTAATTCTTTCTGACATCTGAGTTGGAACAGACAAAGTAGTCTATCAAAGATAATGAAAACAGTGATGTGCATTCAACATTTTACATACTGTGCCACAATAAGTCCAATTTACCAGGCCTAATTATGCTCTCTTTGTAATTAAAAATGCAGTTTCAACAATATATTCATCTGGGTTTGACTCCTCTTCTTAACTTCTGTGATTATCTTCATCACCTAATTGGCTTCTTCTGCCAGGACCTCTTTTCTCATTGGCTAATGGAACTGTCGTCCTCAGGTGCTACTAAAAAGTGACCGGGTGGATGCAATGCTTCAGAGACTCCTTCCTCATGGTCAGCTCCTCTTCCTCAACCACCGCTTTGCCCAAAACATGGATAAAGAGCTATCCAGCTACATGAGTAAATGAAACAGCAGAATCTGAGCGCTGTCACTGGTCCAGTGGTCAGTACTCATCAAGTGTTTAAAGAGGAGCTTCAAGACCAGCATGTGATGTTTTGCAAGATAAGGAAGAAGAGAGACAGTTCTGTCCCGAATATCTGACCAGAATCTGTAAAATTCCTTTTGAAGGCTGAGAGAAAGTGCTTGAAAGATGACACCTCAAAGAACTACCTATCCCCAAATGGTTGCATCTTAGATGCTATGCCAAAAGCTTTTGAGTCTGCAGAACTGTATCAAGGGCTCTGGTTCAGGTATTTTGAAGAAAGTTCTAAAACGTTTTATTTGACGCTGAGTCATATAATAACAGAAGCCTTTAATAAGAATATAGAACTGAAAGATTTAAAGTGTGAAGATAATGTGTAATATTCAAGAGATAATGTTTGTGGCATATTCTGCTGTGAAAGACTCTCATTCATTAAAAATGTGTGTCTGAAAGTGCTGTGAGAAACCACCTTCATGTGTCTGATCTTGCACTTTTGCGCTGCAAGAGGCCAGTGGGTGGCAGTATGTTGTGGTCTTCGGTGGTCTTGGGAATATCCCCTTGAAGCACAGTTACCAGGGTAACATTTCGTATCAAATAGTAAGGCAGTGTTAGTTCAGAATCTAATAAATGTGGTGATCAACATTTTGTTTCTGTCTGTGTGCATCAAGCTGAACACCCTGCCTCTGTGCCTCGCTCTCCATTAGGGGGCAGTGTTGGACCTTCCAGATTACCGAGCAGAGAGTTTCAATGAAAATCCTAGCAGTGACTGACAGCCTGCCATCCTCTTCTGTCACTCGCTCATCTAAAACGCTAGAACAGATAACAGCATTGTGACTGCCAACAGAGCACTGATTGGCAGGACAGGTTGTTGACATGGTAAGTTGTGTTTGTTTCTGTGAAGGCTTCATTTTGGGCTCTGTAGAGTTTAATGCAAATATTCAAATATGCAGCTACTAGTGCTCATATGTATGATCAAATATGCATGACATGTAGAGAATAAGGAATTTGCACATTAAGTTTGCATATGAATTCATGTCATAGATGCCTGAAAGTTAGCAGAACTTCTTATTAATGTACTTTCAATGAGCTAAGCTTCGCTTGCACCTTGGGCATTCCCTTTGCAATTTAGAAAGAAGAACCCTGCTGACTGTCAGAGCCTGAAGGAACATGCCCGTTTCTGTGTCTGATAGCAGCACTAGTACTATACTATAGATAACTTTGGGTTTTGCAGATTTTCATACTTATACGCTATATGATTAAGAGCTATAAGAGTAACTCAATACTGCCTCTGTGTCCCATTCTGTCAGCACGAAGAGTATGGATGTGAGTTGGAGAGTTAGTCACCGCCATGTTTACACGGTAGATATAGTAGATGCCCTTTATTTAGGAAGTGTGAGTTGCTTGAGGAATTGAGACATTTATTTTATTCCATAATCTCAGGCACAAACATTTGCATAAATATGCTCAAAGCATTAGAATAGCATAAAAAGCATATTAATAAGTCATATTTTGGTTCTTTACTGTTACAGGTAGCTTGGTTCTCATAGTTCCTCTAGCTAAATATGACAAAGCACTAGACTGAGGACAGTATTAATACTTAAAACATAGCTGATTACTTCAGAAGAAGTCATTTTAAAACGCCCCTGGTTGCAATCATAAGGTAGCAAAGCACAAACACAGTTATTGCAGGAATCGTAGGAACATTTCTTTGCATATTTGGATCTGCTTCAACTGTGAAATCTGTTATTCAGCCGACTGATGATTCTGTACTAAATTGGGCAATGTGTTTTTTTTTCAGGCTCTAATAAATGCCCACAGTAATCACATTTAAATTGGGGTTTAAAGTGTGCTCATTTTCTACTTCAGTGTATTATTATTTTATATTTGGATATTAAATTGCCTACCACACTTATTTAGCTCTAAAGCACTTGTATACCTTCTGCATATACACGTGTTCTCAGCTGTGTACAAAATCTGAAGGCGCTAATTTAGTGTGCTAGTCATTTTTTTTCTTCTTCAGAACAATTGGCAGGGCCTTCAGTTGTTCTACCTCTCCTTCTCCTTCTTCTCTTTCTTCTAGGTAAACACTGTCATGTTTTTTTTTCTGTAACACTCTGCAATTCACATCATCTAAAAGTAAGCAGTTTATAATTGACCAAACATTTTATTGATGTCTTCTTTTTCTTCTTGGCATAGTTCAGACACTTTTTAATTGATGTCTTTGTTTCTTTTTTTGGAATATTGAAAGACGCCACTTTCCTAGCACAAATGGAGAAACAAAAATTGGAGTCAGTGTGTGTTTGAGGCTCGAACTAACAGTTTGGGTCTGAAGCTGAACTTCAAACGCTGAAATTAATTTCAGAATTGCTCACTTATGTCTCCTTTAGTGTCCTCCTAGTGACTGTGGGTGGCTTTTAATGTCTCCTTTCTCTGTTTTTATCAATACGAACCACTGAGGGCTTCACAGAACTGTTAAACCAATGTAGCTTTCAGGAACATCCCTGGAGCAGACGGAAAAGAAATAAAATGCCTTCGCTTTCAGATCCTCCCACTACCCTCTCCTCCAGACTAGCTTACCTCAGGAACATGTGGTTTTCAAGAGATGTGTGTTTTCTCCTTAGGTTCAAATGGAATTTAGAAATAAATGTAATGCCTGTGGCTTTGTTCAGAATAATTGGTATTTGAAAGGCCAGAAGAAAACTCAAGAATAAGATCTCTGTGTCAAAAGACCTTGTTGTTAATGCAAAACTATTATGCTGGCTTGCCAAAGCTTGTGTTGTTCTTCAGGCGTGTGTATTGTTGTTATTCTGCAGTGCAGTTTCGAAACAGTCCTCGAGCAATCAAGCTACATTAAAACACATGTCAGTGCAGCATCTGTAATGATTTGGTCCTCATTAGCCTCAGTGACCTGGTGGCAGAATCGCATGGCGAAACAATGCCAGGGCTGTGGAATCAGCCTGTATAGGGCAAGGAAGTGTGTTTCAAAAACAAGTCAATCATATTCCTCTTCCTTTCTTCTTCTGTCAAATCAAATAATCGCAGGTTGTGACAAGGTGGGCTTTATTGCATTCCTCCTTTGTGCAGAGCACTTGCCACCAAAGAATGCTTGGCTGTCCTCAATTCCACAGTGAAGCTGTTCTAAATCCAGACATTATTGCAGTGGTATTTGACCACAGGCACTAGAGTTTTCATAAAGCTCTTAAACATAAACGTATGAGGACCGAAATTGAATTTATAGTGCCCCGCCCCATTTAGCCTCCTCAGGAACATTAGCATAGGCTATCTCACTTTCAGGTGCTCTTTGGATTTCCTACCTGCCAAACTGTCAAGTGCTGCATGCCAAATGTAGAGTGACAGTGTGCTTTCCAATTTAGGAATGTTGTTTTATGCATATTCTTTTTCCTACATCACATAGTACTCTAACCCCCTTTTTGTGGCAGATGGTGACAGTGACATGACATGTTGATTACTAGTCTTGACAAATCCAGCCATCATGAGTTCTATATTGATGCATTCGGTACAATTTCCCTGTGGAACTGAGCAGAAAAAAGTCTGATTCGTTGCATGCTCCTTTCAAAAAGGAAAGAGGCAGCAAATCCTGCTTTGTCACATCTTTGCAATCATCTCATTTGGTAGAAGATTTGTATTTCAAAAAATGTTTCATTTTCCGCAAATGGATGGGCCGTTCCATTACAGCTGTGCCACTTAGGAGCAGAGGTAATTGATTAAAAAGGCACTTTTGAGCTACGTATGTGTACAGCACAAGTAGAGCCAAGCTGCTGCATTGAAAATTCTTGCAAATTATATACAGCACAGGGAAACTATAAGACAATATCAACAAAATAATTTTGCTTTCAGTGACCATCTCAGTCCCTATGGTCAAAACAGATTATAGAAATTAGGTTTTAACTGAATAAGCACAAACTTAAGGGTCCCAAATTTATAACAGACCCATTTGTAAAAAGCCTGTAACCAGACATTAAAGGTCTAGTGCTAGTACCCTTGTCAAGTCATACAACTAAATTCTGAAAACAGGATTACCCCCCTGGTTTAAATGTATGTAATACAAGCCTCTTTGTTCAGATTTGTTAAAATTAAGCTTGTGGCTACCAACTAACTGCATGCTATTGCTAATGTCTAGAAATGTTCAATATGGTTAATATACATTTTTTCCTAATTACAGTACTCTGTAGGCAAGTATAACAAAAATATTTTCTGAATGAATGCATTTTAACTGAAATGCATACATTTTTACCTTCAAACAAATAAACAAAAATCAATAAATTAAATGTTATAATGGCCATTTCTGTTTTGCTCCCTTTAAGAGGAACACATAAGCTGAATCTATTTGCTACAGGTTTAAATTCAGGTGATTATTTATACACCTATCTTTGCTATCATTCTACAGTAAAACTTTATCAAATTTATGAAATTAATTAAAATGTTTGATATACATTTTTTTAAAACCTTTTTACTGGGTATGACAAACCAGCATAGGCTCAAACCAGATGGTGTATGTTCTTTCATAGACACATATGCAGCCAGAAAGGTGCTAAGTTTAAAAAAAGTAAGACATTATGAGAATTAAGGAGCTGTGTGAATAAGCTGTGATGTTTGAACATATGCATTATCACAATTTAGCAGTGTGATAATTCCACAGTTGCTTTGATTATGAATTCACAATCGCTGCCGTCTTTGCCATTGGAGAGAAAGGACTAATGGGGACTTTAGGAGGAGTTTCACCTAAAGGCCTAAGGACACGCAGGACTCTGGTGTAATGTGAGCAGTAATGGTGTTCCAGGACATCTTCAGGGTTATGCTAATGTGATCCTCCTCTTTTTTTCTCTGTTCCGTCTTTTTGCTGGCCTTTTTCCTGTGCACAGTTTTACTTTCCCTGTTTATGAGTGTGTGTGTGCACATGCTTGTGTGTTTGTGCAAACACATTTGTTTTTAGTGCTTTATGAGGATACAGTGATAAGAAAACATGAAGTGAGGACATTTTGACGGTTGTTTTTTTGTTTTTTTTTGTTTGTTTTTTTTTGTAAATATATGCAAATTTGATGCCTGCAACATGTTCCAAAAAAGGTGGGACAGGAGCACATTTATCACTGTGTTTCATCACCTTTTCTTTTACAACACTTTTTAACCGTTTGGGGACTGAAAACACCAATTGATCCAGTTTTGAAAGCAGACATTTTGCCATTCTTCAAAAAAAAATTCCAGTCTAGCACTCACAAACTCTGATTACACAGACATGCTGTTGTAACGTGCAGAATATGGCTTGGCATTGTCACATTGAAATAAGTATAGATGTCCCCAGTATGTTGTTCTAAACTGTGTATTTATCCTTTAGGATTAATGGTGCCTTCACAAATTTGCCAGTTACCCATGCCCTGACAGACCCTGGCTTTTGAACTTTATGTACTTTATGTAACAATCTGGATGGTCCTTTACTTCTTTGGCCTGGAGAATGGCATTATTTCCATGAACAATCTGAAAGTTTTACTGTCCCATCTTTTTGGAGATTATTTCATGCCTCAATTTCAGAATCAGCATATATTTACAAAAAACAACGAAGTTGGTAATGTAAAGCATACATATCTTTGTAATGTTTTCAGTTTAAATATGTGTGGACTTACA